CGAGGGCAGTTAACGACAACAAAAACAAAATGTTTATATAAAAAGGCAAAATCAAGATTCGCTTTTGGGAAGATAAATATTTAATATTTTCAAGCCGTGGATAGTTGAATCTGTGGATGAGGAATCCATGGATATGAAGAGATGATTGTACTTAGTTTGGGGAAAAGTTATTCCTTTCGAGGCAAAGTATTTGTATTTGACAGTTTACTGAAGTGTCACAGCTTCACAGAACATTCCCTTCTTTAATTGGACAAAAGAGACCCTACCCATCTAGGGCACTGTCTAGGACACTGGCACTGCATCAGGCTCATCTGGTAAAGATGCCCTTACATATCATATGGAATCCTTTGGAAGCCTGCTCTATGTCTGAAACCATTAGTAACCTGGAAAGGGCAGGCAGCTGTCATCGCTCACAAAGCACTGACTGGCGACTGCTAAAAGGATTAAGAAGAGATTCTGCCTGTTGACTGAGAGCTATTTCTTCAGAGGTAGCAAATGCCAGCTGGAAGCAGAAATCAAGAAGATGACATGGTGGGCAAAGCACCAGCATCATTAGTTGTCCATTGAAAATGTGTTTTTATTACTAAACATTTTAATGTACTTTTTATTTAAGCTGATATTGTGCCTTACCCCTTGAAGGTTTGTATTCTCTTAAATTCATGAAGTAAAAGGTCTACCAGTTTCACAGGTACAATAATGGGACTCAAGAGAATTGCAATGCCTTATGCCCCCCATTTTGCCCTGTTCCAATCATATTTTCTCCATCTTTTCTTCTATATCTCCCTAGCTTCTCGTCCCACACATTCTCTGGATTTATTTTGTTATGCACCACCTGGTATCTTAGTTCTTTTCTCACCGTTTTAATATTGACATGGCTCTTTCTTTTCTCTATCCTCATATCTCCTAGATGTTTCTTCCATCCTTTCTCATCTGCTCATAAGAGCTGGAGTATATATTACTTAAAAATCACATTACATATCACTAGGAGCATTGTTTTTCTTTTACTTTATTCAAATGAAAGCTTAGGGATCTGAAAGCAGATGAGGACATTGTAGTGGTAAAGGAAATTCCCTACAACTAATCGATGTCTGTAAGCCAGTGATCTTTCCTTGGTGGTGATATCACTCTTGAGAGACAGAGGAAGGAACTTTGCATGCAGCGGATGCAGCTTCAAATTCCCACCACACCCATGTGTGTGTTTTTACATGCAATTAACCTATGCAATGTTGAAGCATGCACCATGTTGAATTAGTAAACAGGGCAATATCCTGTTGTGATTCTACAATTCTGAACACAGAAAAAGCATCCTCCCACCTATTGTCCAGATTATTTTTTTGCTGTAAAACCATGTCATCCCTGTGGTCCTGCCCCCAGAAAAGCAGGCTGGGGACCTGACACCTTTCCCTAGTCACTAACTGGTTGTGCTATTGTGCTGCAGCATCAAACAGGTTGGTTGGGCATTTGGGACTGAAGGTAGCAGAGGTACTCATGGTGAAGCATTACGATCTTGCAAGCCTGCATATGATCATGACTAGGAGATGCCATCGCCTAGTGGTCCTTGTTTTTATGCTTGGTGGCAGAGGTCTGAGGCTGCATCTGCACTGCAGAAATAATGCAGTTTAACATTGCTTTAACTACCATGGCTCAGTGCCAAGGAATTCTGGGATTTGAAGTCTGTTATAGCAACAGAGGTCTCTAACAGAGAAGGCTAGACATCTCACAAAACTGCAAATCCGAGAATTCCACAGCATTGAGCCAAGGCAGTTAAAATGGTGCCAAACTGCATTACAGTATTTCTGCCCTGGGTGTGCTTCCCTTCAATTTTATGCTCCTAGAGTGCCATAATTAAAACCTGAAGAGATTAGAAATGTTCTACTTCTTGAATTCTATCACATCTCTCTGTAAAACAGACCTGAATAATTTACATTTACCATCAACCTGCCTTATCTTCCCTGCCCCACAAGCAAATTCCCTTTAGAACAGTATTCTAGTAACTATATTAACCTTTATTCCTTACAAGTAAATGTTCAAGGATAACTGTTCTGCACATTGATCTCATGCAGCCAAAAGAACTGCAGATAACATTTTATTTGTTTGCAGAAAATGACATGCATTCCATTAATCTACCACCTAGGATCTAATCATCAGTGAGGCATTTTTCAGCCATTTTATTTTAATGAAACACATTTGGAATCTTGTTTTAATGAAACACATTGTACCTTTATATGTACGAAATAAAACGGAAGGGTTACATTCTTCTTTTTGTGATATCACAAGTTTTTCATCACACACACACGGACATAAGAGAAATGGAAAGCGGGAAGGGAAAATGGAAGAAAGAACAAAAAAATAGGAAAGCAGTAAAACCACCTGGACTTCTAATTGTAGGTCTCATCCTGCTTTCATTTCCCCTGGCTAGCTGTAGGTCACTTTATATCTCCCTAGATGAAAAATTAAGGGAAGCGAGTCTTATCCTTCTCAATCAGAGCTTAATTTTAAATACAGCATTAGAGACTGGATTGTGAGTGACTAGAAAGAATTTCATACTGTTGCTCTTCGAGCTAATATTAATAGCTGTTGGACAATGTGAGGATAAAGGAATTTAGAGACATTTCACACTTGCTCAATTCCCTTTGCACCTCCAGTATTAAATTCAGAATGAAATTACAGACCTAAAATCTTGACTCAAGGTTTTCAGGGATGGTTATGTACAGGTCCATCTTTGTCCACCTTCCTCAACTGAAGAGACAGGACTATCATTAGGCAGAAAGAAGCTGGTTCATTCAGGTGGCAGATTCTGAGAGCCAGGGGGCAAAACTGGATGAAGGGTTGTTGAAAATGTATGGATGCTATATGTTCTGACCTTCACCTTCTAGATGGTTTGCTTTTCTTCAGTGTGATGGATCATGGAGGACACTGCCCTGCTGGCAATACTGCAGCTATGTCTAGCTATCCCTTGGGTTGACTTCTATATGTGGAATGAGAAAAGCCATCTTATTCTTTGACTCATGAAGCAAGATGTCTTCCTGCTTCCCTGCCTGTTTCCCACAGAAGAGGAAGAACGGTCAGAAGAAAAGACCATACCCAATCTCGATTCACCTCTGAGAAGAATCCATGTATTTATATAAAATACTTATAATCAATCTGCCTTTGTTACTTGGTAATGGTTTATAATTGTAAAAAATGCCTATATAATAATAATATATAATAATAAAGCAGTGGTGTATAGACTGGCCTATGAACCAGTAAGTTCAAAGTTCAGATTTCATAGCTGCTATTGATTAATTAGATTAGTATTTCCCAAACCTTGGTCGACCAGGTTTTTCAAACTTCAACTCCCAGAAGTCTTAACCAGTTTGGTCAGAAATCAGGAATTATGGGAGCTGAAGTTCAAAATGACTGGAGGACCAAACCACTGAATTAGATGGTTCTATTTCTCAGTCTTTCCACCAACAATGTGGGGATATCAATAATGTCA